CTAACCTAGTTATAAGTGCTTTCAGATTTTCTGTTTCTTTAGGCTTTAGTTTTGGTAGATTTTATGTTTCTAGTTATTTGTACATTTCTTCCATTTCTTTCATAGGACTTTTTACGGTTCTTTTTACTTCTATCAGAGAAGGCAATGGCACCCCACTCCAGTACTCCTGCCTGGAAAATCCCATGGACGGAGGAGCCTGGGGGGCTGCAGTCCATGGGGTTGCTAAGAGTCGGACACGACTGAGCAACTTCACTTTCACTTTTCACTTTCATGCACTGGAGAAGGAAATGGCAACCCACTCCAGTGTCCTTGCCTGGAGAATCCCAGGGACTGGGGAGCCTGCTGGGCTGCCGTCTATGGGGTCTCACAGAGTCGGACACGACTGAAGTGACTTAGCAGTAGCAGCAGCAGCAATTACTTCTGTAGTAATATTCTCACTTTTATTCTTGATTTTAGTAATTTGAGTCCTCTTTCTTTTTTCAGTTTATCTAGCTAGAAATTTGTTAATTTTGTTGAACTGTTCAAGTAATTAAATTCTGGTTTCATTGATTTTTCTCTATTGCTTTTCTGTTGTCTATGCATGTATTTCTGCTCTAATCTTTATTACTTCCTTCCTTCTGTTTGTTTTGTGTTTAGTTTACCCTTGTTCTGTTTTCTTGAATTATAAATTTAAATTGTGGATTTGGGATTTTTCTTGGTGTTTAACATAAGTGTTTAAGGCTGTAATTTATCCTTCCTGCAGCATTCTTTAACTGGGTCCTTTAAGTTTTGGTATATTTTGTTTTGATTTTAATTCACCTCTAAGTATTTTTCAACATCTTCCATGATTTCTTCTTTTATCCATCATTTGAAAGAGTGTATTGTTTAATTTCCAAAAATTAGTGAATTTTTCCATTTTACTCTTGCAAAAGTAAAGTACTTTGAGTTCTAAATTTGTCTCCTTGTGGTTGAGAAGGTAAAATCATGGCTGTCATTTTAAATCTATAGAAATAATTCATGGCTTAATATATTTTCTATTATGGAAAATGTCCCATGTGAATGTTAAAACAATATCTATGCTGTTGTTATGTATGTGTCTGTAAATCTGTTAAATCTAGAATGTTCTGTATATGTCTGTTAAATCTAGTTGACTCGTGGTGTTTTAGAGTGCAATACTGAAGTATTCCACTATTATTATAGAACTGTTTATTTCTCCCTTCAATTTTGTCAGTTTTGCTTTTAATATATTTTATGGTCTGTTGTTAGGTGATAGCTATTTATAATTATTACATTTTTTGCTTCACTGAAACCCTTATAAATATATCATGTCCTTTGTATTTTGTAATCTTTTTCATATTTTAAGTCTCTTTTGTCTGATACAAGCATAACTACCATGCTATTTGGTGTCGTGTTCTGTGCACAGGTTGGAAAAGAATTTCCAGACGTGAGACAGAATGAGAGGGAAATAATGTTTATTAGATTGAGAGACGCTGTTAGAACAGTGGGCCAGCTCAAGGGAGAACCGACATTGGACAGGGGTCTTTAGCCCACTTTTATACCCAGGGTACAAGGAATGGGATAAGGGTCTTGTGAGTCATTTGCTGATTGGATGAGGCATGTATACTGGGTGGGGAGAAGAGTGAGGCAAATACCTTCTCCCTATGGGGAGATAGGAGGGGAGATAGGTTATACTGATCAGAAGGACTTAAAATCCACTAATAGTTAACAACATGGGGGAGGGAAGGATGATAAGGGTCTGGTTTTTCCATTCTTCCAAGACCCTCCTTGGTTTTATCTGCTCTTTCTTGGGTCACCACATTTTGGTTACTATTTGCATGGAATGTCTTTTTTCCATCCTTTCACTCTAGTATTTGTGTCCTGGATTTAAAGTGAGTCTCTTATAACAAAACAAAGTATAATTAGATCGTGATTTTTAACCATTTTGCCAATCTCTGCCTTTGGATTGGAAAGTTTAATTTATACATTTAAAGTAATTGTTGGTAAGACATGACTTATTTCTGATATTTTGCTGTTAGTTTTCTATATGCCTTATTGCTTTTTTGTCCTTCCTTTTTTGTTCTTTGTACTTCCTACATTATGTTCTTCTCTTGTGTTAAGTCACTTATTTTTTGCAGTAACATAAATTCCTTTCTTATATCCTTTCCCTGGTGGCTCAGATGGTAAAGCGTCTGCCCGCAATGTGGGAGACCCAGGTTCGATCCCTGTGTCAGGAAGATCCCCTGGAGAAGGAAATGGCAACCCACTCCAGTACTCTTGCCTAGAAAATTCCATGGACGGAGGAGCCTGGTAGGTTACAGTCCCTGGGGTTGCAAAGAGTCAGACACGACTGAGTGACTTCATTCACTCACATAGCTATTTTTCATTGTGGTTACTGTGTTGATTATACTTAACATCTAAAGTTATAACACTAATTGTATTTATAGCAGCATAACTTCAATAACAATTATTTTGCTTCTTTATAGCTCTGTCTCTACCCATTTTTTGCTGATGTCACAAAATTATATCTTTATACATTATGTGAACAACGAATTAGTCTTTCATGTGTGTGCATGCTAAGTTGCTTCAGTTGTGTCTGACTCTTTGCAACCCCATGGACTATAGCCCACCAGGCTCCTCTATCCATGGAATTGCCCAGGCAAGAATACTGGAGTAGGTTGCCATGCCCTTCTTCAGGGGATCATTCCAACCCAGAGTCTTTTATAATGATATGTAGAAAATAAAATGTGACTTTACAAAACAAAGTTTTGTAATTGTAGTTATAATTATTATTAGACTAGTAATTTAAAAATATATTGATCTCTTAAATCATGTAGAAAAAAATGAGTTATAAATTTGTGTTATATTAGCTATTATCAATAGTAATTGCTCATATATTTACATTAATTGAAATATTTATTCTTTCATGTTGAGTTACACCTTGGTGTCCTTTAATTTTACCCTGCAAAACTCCCTGTAGCATTTCTTGGAGGGCAGATCTAACAGTAACAAATTCCCTCAGTCTTTATTAATCTGTGAATGCCTTAATTTCTCCCTTACTTTTGAAAGGCAGTTTTGCCAGATATAGGATTTCTGTTGACAGTTCTTTTTAAAGCACTTTGAGTACTTTTGGCCCACTGCCTTCTGACCTCCAAAATTTCTGATGGGAAATATGCTCATGATCTTATTGAAGATTTCATGTATATGATTGGTCTCATTTCTTTTACAGGTTTCAAGATTCTTTTTTTGTCTATAGTTTTGGAAACCTTGATTTTAATGTGTCTTGGTGTGGTTCTCTTTGAATTCTTCTCCTTTGAATTTCATTGATCTTTTTGGATGTTTGTATTCAAATGTGAGAAGTTTTAGTATCATTTATCCAAATATTCTCTCTGTCCTTTTCTTCCTCTCTTCTTCAGGACACCTACAGTGCGTATGTTCATCTACTTAATGCCTTCAAATGTCCCTTAGGCTCAATCTACTGTTCTTTAATTCTTTTTGCTTTCTTTTCCATGTTCCATTGTCATATCTTTGTCTGCTGATTATTCTGCCTACTCTAGTCTGCCTTTGAATCCTTTTAGCGAAATTTTCATTTCAATTAGTTGCTGCACTTAACAAATCAAAAATTTATTTTAGTTTCTCTTTATAGTTTCTTTTTATTGATACTTCCATTTTGTTCATAAATAATTTTCTTGACTTTCTCCACATCTTTTTTTAATTCCTTGAACACCTTTAAGATAGTCACTTTAAAGTATCTGTCTAGTAGATTTACATCATTGTTTTTTTTAGGGGTAGTGCCTGATTATTTATTTTTAGGTGGCTCATGCTTTCTTGTTGGTCTGTATCTCCACAATCAGAAGCAGCAATAAGCAATTAGAGCACAGATGCCCTTTATTTGGAGGACAGGATCTTGTTTGCCCATCCTGTCTCCCCCTAGCTGTGTAAAAGCTGCTTCAAGAACGTATGCACCAATGTGACTTGGTGTGGGGATGGAGGATGGTAGACGCTAGTATGCTAACAACTGAAATTGACTGCAATTAACCACAATTTACAGTCCAAATCTTCCCCTAGGAATTTGAAAGCTTTCAGTAGACTATAGAGTCCCAAAATAATTTTATTATTTTGAGATAAATAATAAATAAATTATTTTATTCTTGGTGCTCCCTACTCAGCTATCTTCCCAAATCCTTTGAATCTGTTTTTTACAAATATGTTAATAGTTTAATCATTGACTTAAACTCGTTTGTTACTCTGTTGTTTAAAGTGGCCTATATCCCATAGGTTCAAAATATTTTGCAAGGTAAATTGAGCTTTTCAGCTCATGAATTAAGGATGTAGTCTTAGAAATTCATTTTGAAATATGAAAAATATTGAAGTTTCTAAAATATTTGCTTTATTATTGATTTTTAATTTAATTCCATGTTGTCAGATATTTTCTCTGAATATTATAAAATTTTTATAATATGTTCCGACTTCTTTCATGACTAATATATAACTGAAATAAAAGCTAGGATCCTAATTCTGCTCATTAGATGATTCTCACAAACTAATATTGCATATAACAGAGAGATGGAGGACCCCACTTATAGTCCATTTATCATCACTACCAAAAAGTAGGATATCACTGAGTCTAGCCTAGGTATAACTGCCCAGGTATAACTTCTATGGCAGTCTCAGGATTATGAAATCCTGAAATCCCTTGGGGCTAAACTAATGAAGATTTATTAGAAAAAATAAGATACCAAAGTTCAAAAACAGCCATCCAGTTATCAACACTGGACATCACAATTGATTTAGATCTCTTTTACTTTTTAGGGTTGTCAAAGTTTTAATTTTAATACATGACAATAGTTTATAACAGCAATGACTCTGTAATCACTGGGAAAGAAATTATTTACTAAAACTCTGGCTTATAACCTTCTTAGAGGCATGGGCTGGAAAGTGTCAGGTCTTCTATGTTATTTGTGTATACTATATGCTCAGTGAGATATAGTTGACTTATGTCCATTGTTGTTCTTTTATTTTAGGTAAGATCAAAAATTGGTTACTGCCCACAGTTTGATGCCTTACTGGATTACATGACTGCTCGAGAAATAATGATCATGTATGCCAGATTGTGGGGGATTCCTGAGGCCAAAATTAACAATTATATAAAGAAGTCAATGCAAGCACTGAATCTGGAATCCTATGCTGACAAGTATATTTACACTTACAGGTGAGATATCATACTGATGCTCTCATTTCAGCTAATACTGAGGAGCCTTCTGATGATTCTGACCTTTGGAATCAGTGCCCACAATCTAGCCAGAGTTCCACTGACAAACAGAAGCAACTGGGAAGTAATCTAATGCCTTGCCAGTACTGGGATATCAGCAATAAAGCAGACCTAATTAGTATCACAATTTTCCCTTGCAGAGATGAAACACAATCCTGGTTCAATTGCAAATGTAGTCATTGAATTATAAATGAAAGCATCTCTCTCCCTTATTCTCTGTTCTTTGTCTCTCAAGGACCATGTAAAATTCTTTGTATTGGCCTGGTAAATATATTGTTTATTTGTCTGGGAATCTAAAGGAACTCTGGTAGACAAAAGTCACCTTTCTACATTTCAAATGAAAATGACTTGATTTATATATTTGCATTTGGATCTGATGCCTTGGTTGCATGCATGTGTGTCCCACTCATCGTTACCCTATGGACTGCAGCCCACCAGACTCCTCTGTCCATGAGGTTCTTCAGGCGAGAATACTGGAGTGGGTTGCCATGTTCTCCTCCAAGGGATCTTCCTGACCCAGGGATCAAACTCATGTCTCTTAAATCTCCTGCATTGGCAAGCAGTTCTTTATCACTAGTGCCACATGGGAAGCCCAATGCCTTGGTTGAATGATATGCAATCAGCATTTTTAATATCTTGGATATTTCCTATGACTCAGCATTTTGGAAATAATTTAATTGTTTCCTGTAAATAATGGATATATATTAAATATATGTTTTTAATGTATTAAACTGCTGTCACATATACCCATCTCTGTTTCTGCTTTCTCTCTCTTTCCTTAACTATGAAGTGGAGGAAACAAACGTAGACTGAGTACTGCTATTGCCCTCATGGGAAAGCCCTCAGTCGTCTTCCTGGATGAGCCATCAACTGGTATGGACCCAGTAGCCCGGCGCCTACTCTGGAATGCAGTGACACAGTCACGTGAAAGTGGCAAAGCAATCATCATAACATCTCACAGGTGCAGCTGCCTGGGAGGCTTGGTTAAGGGTTAGAAGAGTTATAATGGTATGACCTATGGGAAGGAGTTTTCATTGAGATGAGAGGGCAGGAAGTTCAGGAACTGTTCCATTTGAGGATCTGGTCTTTTACTACTTTTTAAAAAACTAAAGTGCAGTTGATTTACAATATTATATTAGTTTCAAGTGTGCAACTTAGTGATTCAATATTTTTATAGATTATACTCCATTTGAAGTTATTAAAAATATTGGCTATATTCCATATGCTGTACATTATATCCTGGAGATTATTTTACTACTTTGAATTTTAAAATATCTCCATTTGCCATGATGTTGATGAGGGGCAGATGAAACTTCCTTTTTCAAAGAGGGTCACAAAATACTGGATATTTGAACTATAGAATATCTTCTGATAGAGATTTTTTAAAGCTTCACATCATTTTGGTGTTTTGTCCTACTAGTATGGAGGAATGCGATGCTCTTTGTACTAAGTTGGCCATCATGGTGAAGGGAAAGTTCATGTGCCTAGGCAGCCCTCAGCATCTCAAGAACAAATTTGGCAATGTTTACATCCTAAAAGTCAAGATCAATACTGATGAAGAAGAGAACAAATTAGAGGATTTTAAAACTTTTATGGAAACAACTTTCCCAGGTAAACTTGGTTGGTTGGGTTAGCTTTGATATAGATGTGTTAGATCATATTTATTGTTCTCACCATCCATGTGCTGCATATCTCCAGTAACTATTTCTTGTGAATTATTGATATTAATTGCCCTTCCATGTTGAATTATTTTTGGAATGCTTGTTCTTTTAAACTTTTCATGTTTGGTTGTGCTAATAAGTTTGCACAAAGAACAGAAGTATTCACCAATATCTTGGTGTATATTAACTAGTAAGGTAGTTGTGACATTAGAGCTGTCCATATGACCTATATACCTAAAATTATGTTTGAACATAATTCTCAATTTTTAGTAAATATAATCTGTATTAGTCCACTAGGGCTGCTATAATAAGATACCACAGACTGACTGGCTTAATGGCAGAAATTTATTTTTCTCACAGTTCTGAGATTAGAAGTTCAGTATCAAGATTTCAGGAGATCTGGTTTCTCCTGAGGCCTCTCTTTTTGGCCCACAGATGGCCTCCTTCTCTCACTGTGTCATCAGACAGCTTTTTTTTTCTGCATGTATCCATGCCTGGTGTCTCTTACTCTCCTTATAAGGACATCAGTCATAATGGATCCAGGTACCACCCTTATGACCTCATTTATCATTAATTACTTCCTTAAAGGACATATGACCAAACACAATCAACTGGGGTTAGGGCTTCAGCAAATGAATTTGGTGGGGGTGGAAGTGGGGGGTGAGGAATGACACAAATCTTTCCATAATATCACTCATGAAAAGTTTTAAGGTTTTTTACCTCACACTGAAAAATATAACTGTGGTCTTTTGCTGTCCCAATCAGGATATGAAACTGAAATTCAAACAAGAACCGCTAAACATTTTTCTTTTTGCAAGAATAGTACTTCTTCATGCTATATTCAATAAGCATTTCTTTGACTATATGGTACAGTGCCAGAGACAGCAATTATTTCTTTCTATCTCTTATCTCTCCTTCCTAAATATGAAGAAGAAACATGGTAAGACTTTTATTAATTATGCTTTTTCATCTTAGTTTCCATTCTGCTACACTGAGCAAGATATCACAGACATCCCCATTGTGTGTCAGGCTGAGGAGTTGGAAGTTTATCTTCCAAGCAATAGAAAATAGCCTGATTGATTACACAGTAAGAATGGAGAGCAGAAAATAAAAAGAAATAGAAGATAGAGCAGATCTGGGGAACAGATGTATGGGAAATAGAATTACCTCAGTGTTGTTATTAATAGTCTATTAAGAAGTTTAATACTCATTTATGCATTCATTCAGCAAATATTTCTGAGATATAGTGCCTAAATCACTACAAAGAAAAGCTGTAAACAGAAAGTCTCATTTACTGTATGCTGTCCTAGAAACTTTCTCTAAGACAAGTCTTAAAGAAGAGACACTAAACATCAGAGACCTATCCTTGAGGATATGGACACAAAAACTTTAATAGAAATGTGGTTTGAGGAACATTTTCAACTGAAGGTGGCTGTTCCTTACATTATTATACTTGCATCCACCTGTGCCATGAGATAAATAAAATATTTAAATCAATGATATTCACATTATACCTGCCAGCAGTTGAATGGAAAATAAGTTATGGAATAATCATATACCAGATTACCACTGTGAAGAAGCGGAGATGAATGAATAACTATATGTAACAGCATGAGTCAAACTTATAATATTGAGAGTGATATAAAGATGGCAACATAGGTCATTCCCAACATCAGTTGGGAAGATCATATTCATAAGAAGACCAACTAGTAACTATCTGTAGACAAGATACCATTATGAAAATCCCAGAACCTGGAGATAAGGTTGAAGCAACCTCCTGGGCAACAGAAACCAAGAGAGATAGGAGAAGGGTATGAGGAGCTATACACTGACTGTATCAACCCTCCCTTAGACCTGCAGTTTCTCCACTTGGGAAAAGAGAGTCAGTGGAGTTCATCAGGTCCCCCAGTGTTGCAGAATGCTTCTTCGGAGGCCCACTTGGGTCTTAACTCTCAAGAATCACTGGGTGAACCTGTGAGACTTTACCACTTGAGACTATATAAAGACAGAGAAGAGGGCTGGTGCTTCAAGCACTGATCACTCAGATCTTAGCAAAACCACATTCTTCCTTGCAACAGCATTGGAGTAGAGTTCCAGGCCAATGGCTCTGCTCATCTGCAAAGCTGAATTGGTGGCCATGTCTGGTGTGAGAGCTTGGAGGGTACTTTTACCAGGTTTGAGTCCCTAGCCAATTAGCTATACCAGGTATAGAGTCATTCTATAGCCCTGCTGACTAGAGAAGTAGATTCAAAGCCCCTAACCATCTGGTGAGTATAGCCTCTAGCTTCCTCCAACCAGTAAGCCTGGTCAGAAAATTTAGGAAGAACCATGGAACCCAACCTATAGCTGCACTTTGGCCTTATCTGACCAAAGAGCTCAAAGGGCAGGTCTGCCTGATTTGGATCCCCAGCCAATAAGCCCTATCAGCTATGGAGCCTGTTCCATGGCCCTGTCTAGGCAGAGAAGCAAATTCACAGCTCTACCCAACTTCTGAGTATAGCTTCCAAACCACCTGACCAAGAAGCCTGGCCAGTGAATTTGAGCATCTGTTAACCCCTTCTACAGACATGCTTGGTTGGGAGCCAAACCAACAGTCTTGCCCAACTGGTAAGTATAGCCTCTGGCCATACATCACCAGGATGGCCTTGGATGGCCTTGGAATCTAGCCTATGATATTGCCCACCTGCAGAGCCTAGAATTATAGCTTTGCTCAATTGCAGAACACAGCATATGGATTTGCTCATTTAAAAAGTCCAGTCAGTGACTCTGCCCATTCATGGAGCATAGCCTAGGGCCTGACTTGAAGACAGAGCCCAGACAGTGACCCTGTCTGACCACAGAGTACAGTATCGAGCCCATACAACTGTGGAATATAACTGGCGGCCCTCTTCAAAGTAGCCCAGCCTGTAGCCTTAGCCAGCAATGAACTACAACCAACAGCCTACTAGATTGTGAAGGCTAGCCTGCAGTCCTACCCAACTTTGAGTGCAGTTAACTTTCCAGTATAATCATGAGCACAGCCTGAGGCCTCATCTAAAGATAAAGCCCTGTCTGTGGTCCCACCTGAACATAGAGACCAGAAATTGGCACCATCCAGTCAAGGAGCACAATATGAACCCCTTCCCCAAGAGCAATTGTGTCCAGCCCATATGTAGCCTTGCCCAATCATGGAGTCAAAGAGTGGTCTTCACAGCCTGTACCTCAACAGGCCAGAGGTGATTACAGATCTCAGTTAATGTCACCACTTGACTGTGAAATAGTAGCCTGTAGTCATGAGTCTTGTCCATCCAGGGAGCCTATCCAGCCACTATGCTTGAACAGCTCAGCTGGAAGGTCAGTTCAGACACAGAAATCAAACAGCAGCCCTGCCCACCCACCCACCTTCAACCTCAGATCACAAGCAGTGTACTTGCCCAAGCCAAGACCCTGTCTGCCCCTGGACGCTGCCACACAAACAGTCCAAACCTCTAGCTGAGCTGATGAGTGAAGGTGTGTCCCTGCTGAAGTGAGTCTGTAAACTCGACAAGAGGAGACTACTTATCAAAAGTGGATACAAACTCAAGGAATCAAGGACCACAGAGAGTCAGGTATACATAATACTACCCAAAGAAACTAATGAAACTCCTTAAATAAATGGAGATCTGTGGGCTGTCTGACAAGGAATTTAGAACAATCCTTTTAAAGATATTTAATGAACTACATGAACACACAGAAAGACAACCAAGTGAAATTAGTTGTACAATGGAAAAAGAAAATGATAAATACAATAACAACAACAACAAAAAAAAAAACCAGGCACCATAAAAAAGCCCAAACAGAAATCCTAGAACTGAAAATATGACTAAACTGGAAAAATTCACCAGATTCAACCAGTCAGAAGAAAGAATTAATGAACTATGAGATAGGTCATTTGAAATCATCCAATCAGAGATGCAAAAAGAATGAAGAGTGATTAAAAGATGAAGAAAGCTGACAAAATTTACAGGGCACCATAACAGAAACAATTTATTTTATGGAAATCCCAGAATGAGATGCGAAAAGGACTGAAGGTCTATTTAAAGAAATAATAGCTGAAAATTTCCCAAACTTTGGGAAGGATATGGATTTTCAGATTCATGAAGCCCAAAGAACTCCAAATAGTTGAACCAGAAAGGGGCTAAAGCATATTAAAAATTTGTCAAAAGTCAAAGGCAAAAAGCAGGAGAAAAGTAATTTGTCAAACAAGAGAACCCCATAAACCTATCAGCAGAAAATTTTCAAGCCGAGAGAAATTGAAAATGTATATTCAAAATATTGAAAGAAAAAATGTCAACCAACAATAATATAACTGGAAGAGCTATCCTTCAGATGAAGCCCAGGAAAAGATGAAGCCCATTTAAAGTTTATTAAACTCTCCAATCAAAAGACAGACATTAGTCGAATGGATAAAAACACATGGACCCATAAATTGTGTCCATTATAGTTAGCTGGAGCCCCAAACTCTCTGAATATGGAGGAAGTCATTTTCTTCTTTCCTTTCATTAAGAAAATGTTTTCCAGAGGCCTCACACTGAACCCAGTCCAGTTTAAGTTGGACCTAGTCTGACTCTGAACCCAGTTTGGTTGTAGACAGACAGCTAATGATGTTTAAGTCAGACCCAGTCCAACTCCATACCCAGTCAGGTTAAAAAAGAAAAAAAACAAAACAAAACAAAACCTCAAATCAAGTCACAGAGCTCTTGACAGAAAAGCTAGGAGCTCAGCTATCCAAAAACCTCAAATCAAGTTACAGAGCTCTTGACAGAAAAGCTAGGAGCTCAGATATCCAAGAGGGACTTACTTAAGACCATCAGGTGCAGTGAGAAAGTAGTGAAAACAAAGGGCTCAGTGAGAACCTACATCTGGTAGCACTTTGCTCATAGAGCCATTGGGCATCCTTTTGGATCCCATGTTACTTCCCTGGTGACTCAGAGAGTAAAGAATCTGCCTGCAATGCAGGAGACCCAGACTGATCCCTGTGTCAGGAAGATCCCCTGGAGAAGGGAATGGCAACTCATTCCAGTATTCTTGCCTGGAGAATTCCATGGATAGAGGAACCCGGCAGGCTACAATTTGAGGGGTCACAAAGAATCAGACATGTCTGAGCAACTAACATTTTCACTTTTTTCACTTTCACTTTGATGTCAGAACTACTCATCTGATGCATATCAAAAATTTCCAAGAATTTATCAGAGTGTACATTGATTCTAATTGGGCATCACCAAACCAAAGGTGGTTAGGTGGTCTCTACAGACAGGAATTAGGGGAGAGATGTTTATAGAGAAGACATGGGAAAAAGTAAGGAAATGTTTGATTTGCTAGAGCTTAAGCAGTTGCCTTATTTGGGGAAACGTAGTTGGCTCTTTGTGATTAGCTGTTATTAGAGTCAATTTTCTGAGATTCAAGTACATTTGCTCTGGCTTAGGTTTTTATTTCCTTACATAGACTGTCAAAGGATTAGAGCCACCTCAGTCTAATGGCTTCCTAGTTTTATTATATTAACATATTTTAAAATATTTAAAATCTCAATTAATTTGCTGTTGCTGCTGCTAAGTCACTTCAGTCGTGTCTGACTCTGTGCGACCCCATAGACGGCAGCCCACCAGGCTCCTCTAAATTGTAATAATTTACAAAATACAATGATAAGCATAAACAAATATGTTTGTTCTAAATCTGGAAAGTATACCACTTCTTCTCCCAACTTGCACCAGAGGATTCTTATTCACTTGAAAAAGAACATACAGCCTGACTTTGTTGGTTTATATGTATGATTTCCTCTTTAATCTAGCATAGGATCATGAGAATAGCAAGAAAGCCTCTTCTCAAAAAAAAAAAAGAAAGAAAGAAAGCCTCTTATCTCTTCCCCAGGAAACACGCTGTACATTCATACATGTTCATAAAGCCAGAATGAAAATCCCACCCATTTATATTCTCAGCCCTATGTTTAGGAATGACATCTTACAGCATTAGAATTTTAGAAGGCTCAAGTTTCATCCTTTAGACATGTGAGTTGACAACATTTTGTGCCTGTAAGTCTATCCTCAATAATTCCTATAAACCCATAAAACAAAGCCTACTACACCAGGAATTAATCTGCTGAAGAAATTAACTGTATCATGTATACTAAAGAGGTAGACTTTTGGATTATACGCCTTTTTTACTAGCCATATATATTTACCCCTCTGTTACACATATAATTAAGCTGATGTATCAGTATTTTGACATTAAGAAGCAATATGCAAAATTATGTATCTAATCCTATCTTTTCTTTCTTAGGTAGTGAATTAAAAGATGAAAATCAAGGAATCATTAACTACTATGTTCCCAGCAAGAACAATAGCTGGGGAGAGGTGAATGTAGAAACCATGCCCTTCTAATATTATTATATGTTAAGAGAGCACTAAAGCATTTGGGATTTAGTCTTATGAAATGGGCTATAGGAGGAGCAGAGACTTTAGGTTACTTTCAATGGTCCAAGGAATTAATTTTAATTAAGTCAGATTTCCACCTTTAAGTCCCACTTTTTGTCTATATCCATCAAGAGAATGGGGACAGAGACCTGCTTCTTCTCAAATTCTCAGTGACCTACTTTGTCTGTTATCTCAGCCCCACCTTTTGGATCTTTTGTCCTCCACCATTAACTGGGCAGCAGTTGGAGGAAGTGTAGGAGAGGCTCATCTGGGTGGTGGGCTGGAAAGGAGGGCTGCAATGGTAACTGTACTTTATGTTGTTGCTGTTAAAGATGTTTGGCATTTTGGAGGAAGCTAAAGAAGAATTCAATTTAGAAGACTATTCCATCAGTCAGATAACTCTGGAAGAAGTCTTCCTGACTTTTGCTGGCCAGCAGAACCCAGAAGCTGAGAAAAAAGCATCTTGAGACTCCCTTGCAACTAGTGATCCTATGTGTTCCTTAGACTACTCTCTACTATACTTGGATACAGAGAAGGGCATCCTTGTGAGTGTATATCTTGGTATAAATATATTTATGTAATAAAGAGTTCTTCAAAGGAAACATATGTTCCTTCTTCATAGTGGCTTGTGATTCCAGCATGTGCAAATCTAAAGATATTTAGTGAAATTTCTATTTTCTCTCCTAGAAATATGAAACAACATCATTTATCAGAGTGGGGACAAGGGTCTTGTCCTGAGTATTTTGAATATCTGAAAAGAAACATTCAGAAATGATGGAGCTGTCAGAATGGTACAGCCTAGAGAGCAATGACTTTACATTTTAGCAGTTGAGTTATAGATAAGAAGACTATAAAGCCTGGAACAAAAATTACCTTTTTCATAGATAAAAACACACACAAATAGACACACCAATTTTCTGCCAAAAGAGTCCATTTGAATTAATATCAAAGTTTATAGGGGTAAACTGTGTATTTCCAAAACTCAAGCCAACATTCTATATTTGTAAAAGGATATTTGCACTAAGGGGCTTTCCAGGTTGCCCTAGAGATAAAGAACCTCCAAGAAGATCCCTTGAAGGAGGGTACAGCAACCCACTTCAGTATTCATGCCTGGAGAATCCTGTGGACAGAGGACCCTTGTGGGCTATGGTCCATAGGGTCGCAAAGAGTGGGACACAACTGAAGGGACTGAGCACGCACACATGCATTTGCACTGAGAACATTTAGAGTTCAAGAAAGAAAGCAGACCATTCTTTAAGAAGTGTCCTTTCTTTTCTATTCTTGGCATAGCTCTTATTTAGAAAGAAAGAAGGAGAAGAAATGAGGTGTAGAGAGGGGGAGATAGCATATTCTAATTCATGTTTAGGCAGTTGGAGTTCCCCCATAAGCAACATGAGAAATCTAATCACTTCCCCAGAATCACAGGCAGATGAATAGACAAGTAGGATGAAGTGAAGTGAAGTCGCTCAGTCGTGTCCGACTCTTTGCAACCCCATGGATGGTAGACTACCAGGCTCTGCAGTCCATGGGATTTTCCAGGCAAGAATACTGGACTGGGCTGCCATTTCCTACTCCAGGGGATCTTCCCAACCCAGGGATCGAACCCAGGTCTCCTGCATTGCAGACAGACGCTTTACCGCCTAAGCCACTAGGGAAGTCGACAAGTAGGATGATCCTCCTCAAACTGCAAGATAAAGTCAGTGAAGCTGTTCTATTGCAGGGTGCATGGAGGTGCAGGGCTTTTTTTTTTTTTTTTTCAGTCTTCAGTTGAATTTGTGACTGTATTGTTTCTGTTTTATGTTTTGGTTTTTTGACCTCAGGCATGTGGGATCTTAGCTCCCAGAACAGTGATCAAACTTGAACCTCCTATACTGGAAGGTGAAGTCTTAACCACTTTACTGCCAGGGAAGTTCCCCAGGTATAGGTTTTTATATCCTCAATTAGATATTATAATTAATATCTAGAAGCTATTCTCTGCACTGTTTTAAAAATTGATATAACTTTCTCAGGGTTTCATTCCAATACCTGCCATTAATCTCTGACAAGTGACTTCAGTAATTACAAAATTTGTTTCCCAGACTGGCCATCTTTAGAAGGGAAAGGGAACTCATTTTTTTAACCTTTTACTTACATCTTGGCTTCACGTTGGCTTCACTAATAACTCTTTAAAATATTCTTCTAGTCTAATAGGAAGAGAGAGGCTTTATCACCTATCCTATCTCTTCATCCTTCAACAAGAAACAAACAAACAAGCAAAAAACGCGCCAGTTCCTCTACTAAGCACTTTACATGCATTGAATCATTTAATCCCATGATACCCTCTGAGATAGGAAGTGCTATTATTGTCCTCATTGGGAGGCTCAGAAGGGTTATCAGTGTCCCTAGTAAGAATCAGGAAACCACACGACAATTTGAACAGGGATAATTAAAAGAATCATTAACCATAATGCGGATTAGCTATAAGGAAATAAAAAGAACCCCGAGACTGTCCTATGGCTGAGGTAAAATGTTCTGTGTGCTTAGTTGGTGAGTCGTATCTGACTCTTTGCGACCCCAAGGACTGTAGCCTGCCAGCCTCCTCTGTCCATGGGATTCTCCAGGGAAGAATACTGGAGTGGGTTGCCATGCCCTCCTCCAGGGGATCTTCCCAACCCAGGATCAAACCCAGGTCTCCCACATTGCAGGCGGATTCTTTACCATCTGAGCTACCAAGGAAGTACAAGAAGTACTGGAGTGGGTAGCCTATCCCTTCTCCGGGGTACTTCTCAACCCAGGAATCCAACCAGGGTCTCCTGCATTGCAGGCAGATTCTTTATCCATCTGAACCACCAGGGAAGCACAAGCATAAAACAAACTTGGGAAATGGTTCCTCCTCCCCAAGGAAAGGTTTAGTTGTGGCTCAAATGATCCGGTGAGGAAGTTCACTGTCCCCGGACCAGGGCTATTCCACATCTGCTTAACAAGCAGGAATTACTGCTCCCAGTACAGGCAGCTGAGGCTGGCCAACAGGAACCATGGCTAGATCTGGCAAGCAGGAAACTCTCCTCTGGGTTGTTGGCAGGCTGGTGCTAAGAAGGGTAACCTCCGTGAATCTCTGGGAATTCACACCTAATACCATGGCTGGGGTGGGGTGGGGTGAGTGTCACGAAATGTCCTCCACATCCACTGCTGGCAGCAACAAGGTAAGGGCAAGAAGAATCTAAGAGAAAACAATCATGAATAGAAGTCCCTTCTCCTACAGTATTTCTCCAGCGCCCTCTCCTGACAAAGTTAACCTGTCAGTTCAAGAACCCAGATCTATTTGGCTCTTGAGAGGCAGTAAATTGATACCTGGCACAGCAGGAGAGAGACAGAGGGTTTGCCCTCCAACAGTCAGAATTCAAAACCTATGATTCGCTATGCTACACTGGAGCTGGGCATTCGGGTGGGGTCAGCCAAAGAAGCAAGCATGAGTGAAATGTGGGAGCAGGAGAAAGGTTTTGAGGTGGGGTAAATCCAATGCCTAGACGGTCAGGGCATGGTTGACTGTGCGGAAGGTGGAGGAGAGGGCTGGGCTGGGCTGTGCACTCTGGAAAAAGGGCCCCTTGGAGGCCTGTCCTGCACCCGCTGCACGATGTTGCAGACTGGGGTGCTTTTGGGTGGCCAACCGCGGGGGGTTTAGGACTTTGCGCCTGTGCCTTGCCTCTGGAAATTACCTGTTTAACTCCCACAGAGCCAGGGGTGGCGGGAGACGGTCAGCGATAGACTCTCCTTAACCTCCCTGCCTTAAGGAGACGGTCAGCGATAGACTCTCCTTAACCTCCCTGCCTTAAGCCACCGGTTTTGCTGAGGGTGACTTTGATGAGGGAGCGGGGAGTCCACGAGTTACAAGATTGTGGGCTTGTCCAGTAGGGTCCAGAGGCGAGGAACCTGGAAGAGCAAGTGAAAGGGTGCAGATAGGGCCTTCAGGGTCTGGGCGGTGTGCGAGAGACGTTGGGGGGACAGGGTGCAGTGCTCAGAGAGTGGAGGAAGGGGAAGGCTGGCGGGTGCTGGGGAGGTGGACAGATCAAGGGGGCCGCTCTCCGGCTGTGGGTTTGGACGAGCTGGGGTCTAGGGTGTGTGGGGGCTTGCACTGGGAAGGAGTGGAGACAGCACACACAGGGTCCTCGGATCAGCCAGGTCCTCAACCGGCAGTGGCAACGAGCCTGAGCCAGGGAGATTGCCGATGGCGTTGGCAGGAGGTTGTGCAGGTTCAGCTTGCGCCCGGGTGTGGCAGAGATGCTTCTGAGTTCCAAGCGGTGAGTGCCCAGGACCTCCCTCTCTTTCTTTTCTTCTCCAAGTCCCATCGCTTGGGCGAAGCTGCCCAGGTACCCCACCCCCACCCCCACCCTGCGCCCAACAAAAACACGACAGACAAGCACCCAAAGTAAAAGCCTTGCTCGTACCCTCCAAACACACACAAGAGCTCACCAAGACAAATTAAACAAAAACATACTCAGGAATTTTCTTTTGGTTGTGCTAAGTATTTGAAAGAAAAGGCTTTGGAAGCAAATGTTTTGGTGCCAATCTGGACTAATCCAAAATTTATTTGCAGATTGTTTTAGTCAGTTGGTGCTGCTATAATAGAATAACATAGACTGGGGGACTTCTGAACAACAGAAATTTATTTATCACAGTTATGAATGCTCAAGACTCTGTGAAGATCCTTGTCTGGTGAGCGCCCAGTTCCTAAACAAGGTGACTGCTTGATGTATCCTCACATGGTTGGAGGGGCCTGTTTCATAAAAGCACTAATCCAGATTTCCCACCTCCTGATGGGATCACAGTGGGGTCAGGATTTCAACATAAGAGTGTTGGGAGTACACAAACATTCAGTTTATGTAATAACCTAAGGAAAATTATTTGATTTTTGTAGGCAACAGTTTCCTCATCTATAGGAGAAAGGATACTACTTGTACCCATCTTAGAGGGTTATTATAATAAATTGCCAGAACATACTTCAGTAAACAGCAGAAAGGAGAGTGGGAGTTAAATACAGTGGGAATTCCTAATAATGTACTTTGACAGCCTTGAGAAATTTCACAGAAATTGCACCTGGAAAAACAGCATATATTAAGAAACTGTGTTTTTCTTGAGAATAATCTCCTAATTACAAACCCCAAAGCCAGACCCAGAAGGGAGTATGACTGGGATCATGAAATCATAGACCCTGGAATGCCGTGTCGGCATCAGGAATAAACGCTGCCTGCATACTTGGTGATTGTCCCCAAGACTAGCCTAAAAGGGAATGGCCTGGGGTAAAAACAAGGACTATGTCAGTGTAGTGTATTGGGAAAGATAAGATCAAAAAAGTCTTGTAGTCTACAATCAGAAATAAAAGCTGGACTCAGAGTGGACTCTTCACCTCAGTCTTTTAGAGGCTGCAGGTCCCCTGACCCACTGCACCAGATTTCATGTTCTTTCTTCATTTAAGAACACGATTAAGGCAACAGTTAAGTGTTACAGGTAGCTTCATTCAACTTAGTTTTCCTATGTGAAATAAAAATTGCACAGAACAAAGTTAAAACAGGCAAGGAAGACTCTATGCAAAGTTACTGGAATAGGGATGTGAGAGCAGATCTCA